ATGCACTTGTTACTACTAGCTTTTAATTCATGTTCCCCCGAAACAGGTTGAATTTGCGTGGTGAATCGTGAAATCTTTTGGCACAGCTCCAGCCGTCCAACCCCCCACGCACGTATTTATAGCGCGTGAGCACCAGCACACATCCATGTTCTTGTTGCGCTTGGCGACTTCCTCCAACGACAGCAGGCCCTGCATTAGCCGCCGAAGGCTCGCTATGAGCCGCGACATGGAGTCTATGCCAAGTTTAACACTCATCATTCATTGTCATTGTTGCTGCAGGCGAGTGGTGGCTGGCTACTTAAACCGCGCGCATCACTTTTTGGCAGTGGGCTTCTGGTTCAGGGCAGGAACCTTTGTGTGGGGTAGAACCTGTTTTGGCAATCTTCCGCAAAGTTTCATCCGCGGGGTAGAAAGACCTCACTACCCTTCAGGATTGCACAGTGTATGCATGTTGCGTTCTGCTTATTGTTTTTGGGGCTGGGAAACATTGCGGTGGAATGAAGTGGAATGATTGCCCTGGCCTTGATCCAAGTTTCAGAGTTACCAATAACAAAACAAGGTTGCTATACTGCATCGCCACGTGGCTTCTCTACAAAATCATACAAAATCTTTATTGTTACTAGTAGTAAGGCACTTGTTCCTAGTAGCTTCTTGTTACTACTAGTAAGGCACTTGTTACTAGTAGCGATGCACTTGTTACTACTAGCTTTTTTCACGAGGAAAATGCGAGAAATGTGAGGTTTCAGAATTCACTTTGCCATCGTTTCACGGTATTGCAGCGGTCAGTGATTGCACGGCATTGCAGCGGCGCACTCTATTTGATTCTCCGGCCTTAGCTTCTTGTTACTACTAACAAGTGCCACGCTAGTAGTAACAAGTGCCTTACTAGTAGTAACAATGTTTGCTATTAGAATAAAAATAATACTAACTTTTCACACATATACGGTACGTTAGGAAAAATAGCATCCTTTGGCACTTAGCAGACTAAGTCCGGCTACGAGTCGCCATACTATATATAGGTACTTGCTAACGCTGCGGTGTACTTGCTAAGGTTAGCTAAGTTTTGATAAGTTTTGCTAAGTCCAAGTTAAGTTTTGCTGAGTTCTTTTAACTTTTGCTAAGAATCTAATGTCTCTACTCAATTTTGACAGTGTTATTGTTGGCTGTTTTCTTGCTTGAACTCGATTGTTGGTTCGATTGTTGAATGCAATCAGTTGGTTAGATGTGGTGTGATTGAAGGAAGGTTGGCTTGGCATTGATTTGGATGTCATGTATTCTTCTTCTTTGTTTCGTTTGACTGGATTGGATTTGATTGGGCGCCTGATTTTGTTGACTTTTTCGGGTTGGACTTGATTGGATATGATTGGATTAGATTTAACTGGATTGGGTTTGTTGATTTAGTTAAGGAAATAGTAACAAGAATGTACCAAAAGCGCATCAAATACAAAATGTATCAATATGTGTCTTTCCCCAGTCAAACTTGAATTTAACTCTGTCTCCCTCTCTCTGAGTTCAATCGTGTCATATTTCAATCAAACTGAGCCCAACCAAAAGACAATATGTCTAAAACAATTCCGACCCAGTGCAGCTCAAATCCAATCCAATCAAAACCCAAGCCAATCAAGCAAGCCCATAGTCTCTGATGCATTTGAAAGAGTACCTGAACTGGTCTCAGTTTTCTGATGTTTTCTCAGTTTTCTGTACCCGCCAGAGTGTGGCAATCTCTCTCCCCACCAGCCTGTTGGCTCTGCTGTCGCCATGCATTGAAGGGCCCACACAAAGCCAGCGAAACACGTTGTTGTACCATTCGGCAGGCCGTGCCTTGGACGAGACTCATCACATCAAACAAACTCATTAGGCCATCGCTCCTAGTAGCGATGCCCTTGTTACTAGTAGCTTCTTTGCTCCTAGTAGTAAGGCCAGGAACCCCTAGTAGCGTCCTTGCTCCTAGTAGCGATGCCCTTTGCTCCTAGTAGCATGCGAACGCGACTCCTCGTCGCGATGCC